TTCGGATTGGCCTCGATCCCTCGCTCAGTGACGATGTACCCCAGAAACTCCCCGGATGTCACTCCAAACGTGCATTTCGTTGGGTTTAACTTCATTCGATACTCCTCGAGGAGGTCAAAACATTCCTTGAGAAGGCGGACGTGATCTTCTGCCACTAACGACTTTGCCAAAATGTCATCGATGTATACTTCCATCGTTTGCCCTAAGAGGTCGGCGAACATTTGGTTTACAAGACGCTGATAAGTCGCTCCAGCATTTTTCAAACAAAAGGCATGACTTTGTAGCAGTACGTTCCCTTGTCCGTGATGAAAGACGTTTTTTCACGGTCGGCGATGTGCATCATGATCTGGTTGTAACCTGAGAAGGCGTCCATAAACGATAACAACTGGTTTCCCGAAGTTGCTTCCACCAGGCGATCTATATGTGGCAGCAGGAAAGAATCCTTGGGACACGCTTTATTCAGGTCGATGAAATCTGCGCATGTTCTCCACTTGCCGTTTTTCTTTTTCACGACAACTGGGTTTGCTAGCCATTCCGGATATTGCACCTCCATGATAAGGTCTGCATTCAACAGTCGTTGCACCTTATCTTGAACCGCCTGGGCCCGCTCGGCGCCTAGTCGGCGTCTTTTCTGGCGAACTGGCTTGAAAGTGGGATCTACGTTGAGCTTGTGGCAAACTGCTTCGGGATCTACTCCGATCATATCCCTAGTTGACCATGCGAAGGTAGACGACCTCGTTTGTAGGAAGGTTACCAGTTCTTGCTTGGTACGATCCTCTAGCATGGCTCCGACGCCGACTGTTCGGGAAGGATCAGATTCGTTGATATTGACCTGGATAATCTGACAGCTCGGAGATTGGAGAGATGCTCGAGCTGGCGGTTAGAGAACGTCGACGCATTCTCCGTTCTGTAATTGCTACGCCAGGTCGTCTCTTCGCTTCTTCTTCTCAATAACACAACAGTTGCGTGACATTTTCTGGTCGCCTTAAAGTATGTAAATTTCGGACTCCGTAGGGAATTTTACGCATAAATGATAAACAAAAGGGATTGCTCTCATGGCGTAGATCCAAGGAGATCCGAGAATTGCATTGTAGATTAGAGGGGCGTTGACCGCCGTGAATTTGAGCTTCTTTGTTACTCCTCTGACCTGACGTCGATTTTGAAGTCGCCCATCGCGAGACGCGTGGTGCCATCGTAACCAGTTAGCGTCCGAGTTTTCGGTTTTATTTTGGATTCTGAGATCCCCATCTTGGTCAGGGTGCTCAAGAACAGCACGTTGACGGTGCTCTCGGTGTCAACTAAAACTCGTTCGACATTGTGAATGCCCATGGTTACTTCGACGACTATGGAGTCGTTATGGGGATGTCGTATCCCTTTAGCATCATCAAAGGAAAACGTGATAGGTTCGACAACCGGCGCCTCGTCCTCCAAAGCGACGTGCAAGCTACACACCTGTCTGGCCCTTTTTTTGAGTGCCCGAACTGAGTCGTTGCAGTCCTCAGGTTCTCCCAATATCATGGTTATCCGCCCGCGAGCTGGTGAGTCTACGCGCTGTGGTCGTTGTCCTCTCTGTCTTTTCGGCGGTCCTGGCAATTCACCCTCTTCATTATGATGATGTTTGGGGCTGTGCCTTTCTTCAGGTTGGTCTCGCCGGTCAGTGCCATCTTCCCGATATTGACGGGTCCCCTGGCTTCGACCACGGCCGCGTCCGCGCCTTCCATCAGGTCGTTATCCCCTGTATTCCTTTGGATGAAATACAGCTGATACTAGGATTTTTCTATCAATTACCCTAGAGTACTATCATGTCATTGCAGTACAGTAGGTATCAATCCAATCAGGTGTGATGCTAGCAATCAAGATATATCAGAAATGATTAAGTCAAGCAAGTATAAATGATCTTTTGGTTTTCAGTGATCCTAAGCAAACATGTTAAACATGCGATAAATGTAAGGCTGTAAAACATAGACTACCATGCATAAACTAAAACATAACGATTATTGATATTGGCAAGAAAACAAAGCAGACCAAGTAAATAACAAGAGAATTAAACAGAAAGCACAAATGGATAGAAGATCCCGAGGATGAGGTTATTGATGTAGGTGGAGTATGCTAATCTACTTCGAGTGTTTATCAAACTGCAAACATTCGAATCCCTAGACAATGAACTTCTGATACTAGTCAATCCAATCTCTTGGCAGAAACTATCAAGTTTACAACACTTCCTAATCTCAATTCTCATTGATGAAACATGTAGTAAACAAGCATAAAGAAACAGCTCATTAATGTCAATAAACATCTTAGACAACCAATCTCTTGGGCTAAGCATGTAAATCTCTGGCACTATTTGGTTCAGACATGTCATCATATATATACCTTTCGGGTATGAAATGTCTATGACCCAATTCCAATTGATCAGAGAAGAACTAGCTAATAAAACTCTAGTCCAGAAGGGAAACAAAACGAATCTAACATAAACACTCTAGCAAACTAACATCCTCCACCTAATCTATCCCATCCTCAAGAACCCTAACACTACTCAGACGCAGAAATCATGTTAAACATCATGAAACAAGAATCGTTCAAAACATGCATAATAATAAGGATGATAGGAAAAGTAACAACAATGATTTCAGAACTAGTTGCAAAATCTCAATAACTCAAAAGAAATATGAATTACAATTTTCTGGATTGTTTGGTGGCTAACAACAAAAACCTAATAAAAATAAAACTCGATCCCTTGGGAAATCCAAATGAGACCTATTTATAACAATGTTTGGGAAAACCTTAAAACATAAAACGACAACGTAAAAGCGGTTTAAAAGTTGTAATGGTCATGTCGGTCGAGTGAGCGTGTCGAGTAACACTTAATTTCTTCTCTGCATCATTTCATACTCGACCGTGTTCCTCGAGTGATTGTGTCGAGTGACCTGTGAAACCATCAGCTACTTCTTTGCTTTGCTCGATCATGTCACTCGAGTGAGTGCATCGAGTGACAGGTGGTTCTGCTTCGCTTCCCTTCTGCTCGATCAGCTACTCGATCGTATACGTTTGCTGCTCACCGATCGTCCTACTCGGTCGTGTCAATCGAGTGAAATATGTTCCTGCAACGCATCCTTGCTTCTCACTCGATCGTCCCACTCGATCATGTGCATGTCGAGTAACGCTTGTTCCTCTGCTTCGCTCTGCATGTCTCCTAAGTACCTGAAACACTCCAAATATGCACAATGTATGCAAGATATGCATGATATGCATAAAACCTACCTAAGTATGTAAAACATGCAGAAATGGATCAATATGATGTGAATCAACAAGTGAATGATGCTGAAAAGATGATGAATGCATGCTCAAAAAGCGATTAAATACAGACTTATCAACTCCCCCAAACTTAGTCTTTGTTTGCCCTAAAGCAAAGCAAAAAGAAACAAAGTGGAAGAGAGGTTTGAAAATGGGGTCTCAGAACTTGTAACTTGCAAGATAGAGCAGTTAAAATCAATGTCCTGGTTGCTAAGTCTTTGATGCATGCTGAGAGAACTTTACTTAACGACTTTAGACAAACTCATCAAATCCGAAACTGATTCTATCCCTTGATCTACACATGCATTCAAATCATTCATTCCTTTTAACATTCATTACTCAAGTATATGAATCTGGTTGTGCAAGGCTTAACAAACTCACTTGGCTAGGCAGAAAAAGGTTTTGAGAATCATGAGGGTTTAAACAATTTCAGGACAAGGATCTCTCAATGAATGGATTGAGCTTTAGGGAGAATGCTAAAGGTAAGGACCAACAAATGCATACATGAATAAAACCTTGACTACCCAATGGTTCCCAAGTGCTTACTCCTAATCATCTAAACCCGGATGATCCCTATGTCTACCCTTTAACATCAATCCCGTTTTTTTTTTCTTTTTGCCTTCGGAGAAGTTTATTATCAATACTAGTGGATAGGGGATTTCTTCTTAACTATGGTTCTGTATTCTTCTTACGTTATAAGACATCAAAACTTTTTCTCTTTCTTAACATCCCAGAACCATTCTCTGTATATCATGCTAACCCCACAAAAATCAATCACTAGAGTATAAACTTCTAGAAAACATTCTCCTCCTAAGGACACAACTTTTTCTGTTTCTCTTCTTTCTTTCCACAATCATTCCAATCCCAAACCCAAGTAAGAATCATGACCTAGTCCTATCTGATTTGAAAGCGAAAATTAGAACTACTCAAGATTTTAATCCTGTCGGCTCATACCTAACACGTTCTCCCCAAGCATAATCCGGTTAAAAGACCTACCAGTCAAAAATTATCAATTGGCTTGAAAGAAAAGGATAGGCTGTGGGTGTGGCAAACTGATCAAAAGAAAGATCAGCTACTTGGATCAACAAGAGTGGTGAAAGGAGGAAGATGATCCAAATATGTATATGGTGACCATGAGCATGCAAGCAAAACACAATCAGATATTTGCAAGTCAAGATTAAGTTCTTATAGGGTAAGGAATGAGATCATATCACAACATGTTTCAACCAAGTTCGAGAATGCTCTTCATGAATTCCAAGTTTGTTTCAGACTTACTTCAAGTTCAATCATCATGCATCAAAAAGCTAACAACCAGAGCATTGATCTCAACTAGTGAATCATAGCAAATCAACAAGGTGTAACTCATCATCGCCCCCTATGCTAATGCAACAGTCCTACATGAAACAATCTAGACTCAATCATAATATGCAAATGCAAGCTACATAATCACTCTGTTTTTAAAGATTTTTTCTGAAAATTTTTCAATTTTTTAGGGGTTTTCAATGCACATATATGAATGCAAATTATATGCTAAAAATTCAAAATAAGAAAAAAGAACACAACATCAAATGTCATCCCAAACCCTCCCCCAAACTTAAATTACACAGTCTCTCGTGTAATAAAAATTTGAGAGTTGGTTTGAGAATCAAACAAACAAAAGTATGAAAATGCAATGGTATATACAGATGAAGTTTTGGAGTGGTACCTTACTGAAAATAGCAATCCAGGTATTGAGTCATAGACTCGCTTGTATAAGCACCTGGTGCAGGCGGGACAGGAGGTGCCTCTGCTGGTTGCTCAACGTTCTGCTCGACAGGATCCGCAGTGAGGTCTTGGAAATGATACGCACCTGGATCAATAGTCAGGTCTTCAATGTGATCCTCAGCTTGATCCATGGTCAGATCCTCAACATGATGCTCCTCTGACAAGTGTGATGAACTGGCTTTTGCCTTCCGTCTCGCTGCCTTCTTCTTTTTCCGTTTCTCCTTCTTTTTGCTAGCCCTAAGCTCAGGGGAGGACTGTCTCAGAGGAGAAGAAGAAACATTATGCTCTCTATACTCATAAGCGGAATGACGTGATGGAGAAGGAGTTCTGTAGCGTGCGGGGACATCACTCGTTGACAAACGACGCTGCACTACACAAAAAATCCTAAACAATATTTACAGGATACCTTTGGGACTTCCTCCCAAGTGAGCTTGTTTAAAGTCACTAAGCTTGACTGTTTATGCCTTTTAGGCTTTGGGAGGCTCATAGAGAGGCATGGAGGACCCCTCTGGTGTTTCTTGATCAGCTAGGTAACGCTTGACACGTTGACCGTTCACAGTGAACTCGCTGCCATCCTTGTTCAGGAGAGTGATCGCACCGAATGGCAAAACATCCTTGATTTCAAATGGTCCAGACCATCTAGACTTGAGCTTTCCAGGAAACAGCATAAGTCTGGAATTGAACAGCAAGACGTGATCTCCAGCCTTAAGCTCCTTAACAACAATCATCTTGTCATGGAAAGCTTTGGTTCTCTCCTTGTAGATTTTTGAACTTTCAAAAGCATCAAGTCTGATTTCCTCAAGTTCATGGATGTCAAGAACTCTCTTTGCCTGGGCTGCATCAATGTCCAAGTTCAGAAGCTTGATAGCCCAAAGCGCCTTATACTCAATCTCCACAGGGAGATGACATGCTTTACCATACACCAGCTGAAAAGGTGTCCTTCCTATTGGTGTCTTGAAAGCTGTCCTGTATGCCCATAGAGTATCATCCAACTTGGTAGCCCAATCTTTCTTCAAAACCCCAACAACTCTTGACAAGATTCCTTTCATCTGCTTGTTGGAGACCTCAACTTGTCCACATGTCTGGGGATGGTAGGCTGTAGACACCTTATGCTTCACACCATACTTCTTCAACATGCTTTCAAAAACTTTGTTGATGAAGTGTGTACCACCATCACTGATCACTGCTCTTGGTACTCCATACCTGGGAAAAATGATGCTCTTGAACAGTTTCAGAACAACCTTGTGATCATTAGTGGGACTCGCAATGGCTTCAACCCATTTTGAAACATAATCAACTGCAACCAGAATGTAGACGTTGCCATTTGAGGGAGGGTTGAACGGTCCCATGAAATCAATTCCCCAAACATCAAAAATTTCTACTTCCAAAATCGGATTCTGAGGCATCTCATTCCTTCTGTTGATGTTACCCATCCTCTGGCAAGCGTCACACTTGGTGATGAAACTGTTTGTATCCTTGAACAACGTTGGCCACCAAAGGCCTGCTTGTAGAACTTTCTGAACTGTCTTGAAAGTAGCGAAGTGTCCTCCATATGTGGATCCATGAGAGTGCTCAAGCACTCCCTGCACTTCTCCTTCTGCTATGCATATCCTAAACAGCCCATCTGAACCTCTCTTGTACAAGTAAGGTTCATCCCAGAAGTAGTGGTTGACATCTCTGAAAAACTTCTTTTTCCTATAAGGATCCATGTCTGCAGGAATCTCTCCACAGACCTTGTAGTTAACCACATCCGTATACCAGGGCATACTCTCTGAATTGACTGCTAGACATTGAAGCTCCTTCATAGCCATTCCTGTTTGATGCATCTTCTTGCATATCTCAACAACCATAAGATGTTCTTCAGGCATAGAGTCATCAATAGGGATTGGATCTTCTATTCTCATTCTGGACAGGTGATCAGCAACGCCGTTCTCTATCCCCTTCTTGTCAACAATCTCCATATCAAACTCCTGGAGTAGAAGTATCCATCTCAGCAGTCTCGGTTTGGTATCCTTCTTGGAGTATATATGCCTAAGCGCAGCATGGTCTGTATAGACTACCACTTTTGATCCCACCAGGTAACTTCTGAATTTCTCAAACGCAAAGACTACAGCCAAAAGCTCTTTCTCTGTTGTTGCATACCTCCCTTGTGTCTCATCAAGGGTTCTGCTCGCATAGTAGATGACATGCAGTTTCTTCTCTATTCGCTGCCCCAACATAGCCCCTACTGCATTATCTGAGACATCGCACATTATCTCAAAAGGATGATCCCAGTCTGGAGCTTGGACTATTGGTGCTGAGACTAACGCTTCCTTGATCTTGTTGAAAGCTTCCAGACAGCTCTCATCAACGACAAACTCGACCTCCTTGCACAGCAGTCTTGAAAGGGGTCTTGCAATTTTTGAGAAGTCCTTGATGAATCTTCTGTAAAACCCAGCATGCCCAAGGAAACTCCTTATATCCTTGACTGACTTGGGAGGCTGCAACTGCACCATGACCTCAATCTTTGCCTTATCAACCTCAATCCCTTTCTCTGATACCTTGTGTCCCAACACTATCCCTTCGTTCACCATGAAGTGGCACTTCTCCCAGTTGAGCACTAGGCTTGTCTCCTCACATCTTGCTAATACCCTGCAGAGATTCAACAAACATGAGGAGAAGGAGGAGCCATACACGGAAAAATCATCCATGAATACCTCCACCATCTCCTCTATCAAATCCGAGAATATAGAGGTCATACACCTCTGAAATGTTGCAGGTGCATTACACAAACCAAAAGGCATGCGTCTATAGGCAAATGTGCCATAGGGACAAGTGAAAGTAGTCTTTTCCTGATCATTTGGGTGGATAGGAATTTGGAAAAATCCGCTATATCCATCAAGGAAACAGTAGTAGGGATGATTGGCTAATCGTTCTAACATTTGATCAATGAAAGGAAGAGGAAAATGATCTTTCCTAGATGCAGCATTCAGTTTTCTGTAATCAATGCACATCCTATGGCCAGTGATAGTCCTAGTGGGGATCAATTCATCTTTTTCATTTTTTATCACTGTAATTCCCCCTTTCTTGGGTACGCAATGTACTAGGGATACCCAAGTACTATCAGAGATAGGATAGATAACTTCCTTAAGGTTAGGATTCAGTCTCCTTTGAGGTTCAATACTAGAGTATGATTCGTTTTCCAGATTAATCCTATGCATGCAGAGACTAGGTGAGATCCCCTTGATATCATCTAAGGAATAACCTATGGCCCTTCTATATTTTCTAAGCTCAGTGACTAGCAACTCTAATTCCTCATTACTCAAGCTAGCATACACAATGACAGGATAAGTAGAGTTGGATCCAAGGAATACATACCTCAGTCCTAAGGGTAGCGGTTTGAGCTCAAACTTGGGAGCTTTTAACTCTGACCAGTCATCATCAGCCGCATTGACAGGGTCAACAGCAGGGTGAGTGATCGGGCTGCCTCTGACTTCATCCTCTACTGTGCATACCTCCTTGACAGACTTATCCAATTCCTCAAAACGTTCTGAATCATCAGTTGCCTTGTAGGTATCCAGTAACGTTTCGTAGACCTTTGTCTCAGCTTGAAGAAATCCATCTGATCCATTCTTTGTCAATGCTGTCTTGAGATGATCCTCCTCAGCAAGTTCTTCTAAAAGCTCATCAGATAGCTGATCCATCTCCTCTATCCAGAATACCTTGCCATTGATTGTTGATTTCTTCATAGACTCCTTGATGTCAAATGTCATCTTGAAATCTTCTCCCAAGCATAAGTCTATCTTCCCATTCTTAACATCAATGATAGCTCCAGCCGTGGCTAGGAATGGTCTTCCAAGAATCAGGGGATCTTTAGGCTCTTCATCCATTTCCAAGACAACAAAATTTGTGGGAACTTCAACAACACCAATTCTTATTGGCAGGTCTTCCAAGAGTCCATGTGGGAGTCTCACTGATCTGTCAGCTAGAATGAGAGATATGTTGCATGCCTTGTATCTTGTGAATCTTAAACGCTTAGCCACAGACAATGGCATAAGACTCACAGAAGCTCCAAGATCACATAGGCATCTGCTGAAAGATAGGGGGCCTAGTGAGCAGGGTAGAGTGAAGGATCCAGGATCCTTAAGTTTCAAGGGAGTGATCTTCTTCTGGATAATGGCACTACATTCATGACTTAATATCACCATGCCCTGTACTTCTTTTGTTCTCTCCATAACCAAATCTTTGAGGAACTTCTGATAAGGAGGGACAAGTGCGAATGCATCCAGCAATGGCATTCTCAACTCAATCTCTCTCACTTGCTTTTCAAATAAAGCCTTATACTTCTCAGCTTGCTGCTTTTTGAATCGTCCTGGAAATGGTAGAGGTGGTTTGTATGGTGGGGGAACGTATCTCGCAGGTTTATCCTTGGATGCTGCAGATGTTTCAGCATGTTTCTCAGCAGGCTGAGGAGCTTCTTCAGGTACGACTTCTGATTCTTCCAAAGGAACAACCGGATCTTCATTCTGACATACATCCTCCCCTTCTAAGTCTTCACTGTCCTCAGTGACTACAACAGGTCCTTGTCTAGGAGGCAAGTTTTTACCGCTCCTCAGCGTGATGGCATGAGCAAACTCCTTAGGATTCTGAACAGCTTTTCCTGGAAGTTGGCCAGGCTTTGGGGCAGAAGTTGAAGCAGTTTTGCCCTCCATATACTTGATCTTGGAATTCAGAGTCTCAATCTTCATGTTCAGATCATTGTATGAGCAGTCCAATCTCTGAGTCAGCTCAGCAAACTTCTTAGCATTGTCCATGGAGCCACTTGCTTGTCCCTGTAGGAGTTGCTGAAGCATGTTTTTCATGTCATGGTCTGGTGCTGTTGGAGGTGGAGCCTGTTGAGGATGGAATCCTAGTGGTGGTCCTGCTGGAGGTTGGTAACCTTACTGAAATAGTTGTTTGGGCACATAACCTTGGTTGTAGGGCACAAATGGTTTGTTCTACCCCTGCTGCTGCTGTTGTGGAGGTGGATAAACCTGATCCTGGGGATTTGCAACATTGGTGCTCCTATAAGACAGATTGGGATTCTGCTTATAAGGATTGTATCCCTTATTGTATCAACCTTGGTTCTGGACATAACTTATCTCCTTAGGTTGTTCTCCCTCCCCATTCAGAATCTGGAAAGGGTCGTCTTCAGAGACGAAATAGATGTTCCTCTGCTGGCTCATCAATAGCTTGTCCAACTTATCATTCACAGCCTTCATCTTCTTCTTGTACTTCTCATCAAAATCTGTGCTTGCCCTGATGGTTCTATCATAATCTTCATTGTAGTTGCCATCAGATTGGGATAGGTTTTCAACAAGCTCCCAACCTTCGTCGACGTCCTTGTTCAGAAAGTTGCCATTGCTGGCATTGTCAAACAACATCCGGATCTTTGGGAGAACACCCCTGTAAAGAGTACTGAGGAGAGACTCCTTGGTGAAACCATGGTGGGGGCACTGAGACTGATAACTTTTGAAGCGTTCCCAGGGTTCACAAAGCGTTTCTCCATTCTTCTGAGTGAACCCAGAGATCTCATTGCGCAGACGTGCAGTTCTAGAGTTGGAGAAAAACTTGGCAAGAAACGACTGCTTGCATTGATCCCAAGAAGTGATAGATCCTGGAGGAAGAGTTTTCTCCCATTGATGAGCTTTGTCACCCAAAGAGAATGGAAAGAGACGTAGCTTAAAACCGTCCTCACTGACCCCATTGATCTTGGTGAGACTGCAGAGACGATCAAACTCATCAAGGTGATCCAGGGGGTCTTCCATAGGCAGACCATGAAATTTATTCTGCTGGACCATGGAGATCAGACCACTCTTGATCTCAAAGTTGTTGTTCACCACGGCTGGAGGTACTATACCCTGACGATGGGTATGGTTGCGTGGAGCATCACCAGCTCCAATCTGTGTAGGTGCCCGTGGTGAGGGTGGTGGTTGAATGTTTTCCATCTCCACTTGGGGTGGTGTAACTCTGTTGCGTTGCTGTCGTGATGCAGGTACCAAGCGATCAATACGGTCGGAGGGCTGGAACAATTTCTCTGTGCCTTGCGACCGTGTGTGCATACAACTCAAATCAGCTTATCTCTCTTATCGGTTGAGTGTGTCAGTCGAGTAGGAGCAGTTGAGCAAGAGTTGTACCTGAATCAATAGACAAACAGAAGGAACAGAGTGAGTAACTATAGTGAATGTTGAGTAAAAAACTTGATCTTAGCAAGTCTGAAATCTCAAATGTAACAAACAAACACCCAAATGGCAGCGGCGCCAAATTGATACTAGGTTTTTTCTATCAATTACCCTAGAGTACTATCATGTCATTGCAGTACAATAGGTATCAATCCAATCAAGTGTGATGCTAGCAATCAAGATATATCAGAAATGATTAAGTCAAGCAAGTATAAATGATCTTTTGGTTTTCAGTGATCCTAAGCAAACATGTTAAACATGCGATAAATGTAAGGCTGTAAAACATAGACTACCATGCATAAACTAAAACGTAACGATTATTGATACTGGCAAGAAAACAAAGCAGACCAAGTAAATAACAAGAGAATTAAACAGAAAGCACAAATGGATAGAAGATCCCAAGGATGAGGTTATTGATGTAGGTGGAGTATGCTAATCTAATTCGAGTGTCTATCAAACTACAAACATTCTAATCCCTAGACAATGAACTTCTGATACTAGTCAATCCAATCTCTTGGCAGAAACTATCAAGTTTACAACACTTCCTAATCTCAATTCTCATTGATGAAACATGTAGTAAACAAGCATAAAGAAACAGCTCATTAATGTCAATAAACATCTTAGACAACCAATCTCTTGGGCTAAGCATGTAAATCTCTGGCACTAGTTGGTTCAGACATTTCATCATATACCTTTCGTGTATGAAATGTCTATGACCCAGTTCCAATTGATCAGAGAAGAACTAGCTAATAAAACTTTAGTCCATAAGGGAAACAAAACGAATCTAACATAAACACTCTAGCAAACTAACATCCTCCACCTAATCTATCCCATTCTCAAGAACCCTAACACTACTCAGACGCAGAAATCATGTTAAACATCATGAAACAAGAATCGTTCAAAACATGCATAATAATAAGGATGATAGGAAGAGTAACAACAATGATTTCAGAACTAGTTGCAAAATCTCAATAACTCAAAAGAAATATGAATTACAATTTTCTGGATTGTTTGGTGGCTAACAACAAAAACCTAATAAAAATAAAACTCGATCCCTTGGACAATCCAAATGAGACCTATATATAACAATGTTTTGGAAAACCTTAAAACATAAAACGACAACGTAAAAGCGGTTTAAAAGTTGTAATGGTCATGTCGGTCGAGTGAGCGTGTCGAGTAACACTTAATTTCTTCTCTGCATCATTTCATACTCGACCGTGTTCCTCGAGTGATTGTGTCGAGTGACCTGTGAAACCATCAGCTACTTCTTTGCTTTGCTCGATCATGTCACTCGAGTGAGTGCATCGAGTGACAGGTGGTTCTGCTTCGCTTCCCTTCTGCTCGATCAGCTACTCGATCGTGTACGTCTGCTGCTCACTCGATCGTCCTACTCGGTCGTGTCAATCGAGTGAAGTATGTTCCTGCAACGCATCCTTGCTTCTCACTCGATCGTCCCACTCGATCGTGTGCATGTCGAGTAACGCTTGTTCCTCTGCTTCGCTCTGCATGTCTCCTAAGTACCTGAAACACTCCAAATATGCACAATGTATGCAAGATATGCATGATATGCATAAAACCTACCTAAGTATGTAAAACATGCAGAAAGGGATCAATATGATGCGAATCAACAAGTGAATGATGCTGAAAAGATGATGAATGCATGCTGAAAAAGCGATGAAATACAGACTTATCAACAGCTTCTATCTCGCCCGACTTGTATTTGTCGAGGAGATAATTAGATAGATGCTTACATTCTTCAATCGAATGTCCGGCAAACCTTTGGAAGGTGCAGTACGATTCCTTGGGCGACGTCTTTTGGTTATTGCTCTCCTCTGAGATAGCGTTAATCGTACCGCGCGATGCGTCCTTTCCATCATAGAGCTTACGTGGCTCTCTGCAGTCCTCACGCTTTCAGTCCCGGGGTATGGGGCGAGTTGCGCTAGCTTTCGCCGCTAGCTTGGCGTCTTCTTCTTCAAAAAGCGCATATCTAGATGCGCAATGTAACGCGTTGTCAAGGTCTTTTGGTTCACGAATGGCCAAGTCCTTTCGTAGGGAAGATCCTGGAAGGAGCCCTTTTCGGAATGCGGCTAATGCGGCATCTTCTTGAACTGATACTTTCGCCAGCAAATTCTTGAACCGCACTAGATACTGCTGCAGAGTTTTATCGGCTCCAGAGTTTCATCGGCTCGAGAGATCGATACTGGAGGTCCAGGTTGTATGAAATGCCGGTAATGTCGAAGAAATGAGGTCGACAACTTGGCGAAGTCATTGATCGAATTCGGACTAAGCCGAGAGAAACAGGTGAGGGCGTTGCCCGTCAACCTCTCAACAAAAAGCTGTCAGTGTCCCGTATCCCTCTCCTCTTCGGAGAAATGTGTCTTTGTGACCGCAGCCATGAACGTCGTCATGAAAGTGCGAGGATCCTTGTCCCCATCGTAAGTCGACAACCTGAACTTGATATGCGGAATTCGAGCCTGAGTGATACGGCTCGTAAAAGGGGTCCGCTGAGTTTCTTCAAACATGCGGTCGATTTCCGGGGCCGAGTTGGAGACCCGGTGGACCTGGGAGTTTATGTCTGCTATCTTCTCGTACAGATCTTCTAGGTCATGATCACGTCTGGAGCTCGGTGCGTCTGCGGGTTGGCTGGACGCCGTTACGAATGCTCGGGGTCGAGTTTCAGCGTGCGAGGGCCTTGCACATGATCGTCCAATCGGGGGTGGAGGGCGTACCATAAATCCTCCGACCTGATTAGTAGGAGGGACGTCAAAGCTCACCTCCTGGATATTAGATTCCAGCGTGCGAGTACGCCCGATCGTATCCATCCGACGGATGGCAGCAGCGATCTGGTCGTAGATGTCTTTGGTCACATTACCAAATACTATGCGCAGGTCGTCCATAGATGCGGTTTGTGGGACAGACGGCGGTATTGGAACGGTCTGGGAGATTTGGGTTTCGTCTGCAAGTTGGCCCTCGGCTTCTCGAGTGGCCACAGTACTAATCTCCACCCCGCTGGTTTGGGGGCAGTCAACGGCTCCGGTTGGTGCCGGGAGATCCGTTTGGCGGACCTCTTCATCGAGTCGTCCGTTAACGGAGTCGAGCTGTGGGGACATCTCGAAGTGGATTGCTTCGGTAATCGAGTTGAGAGAAGTGTTACTTTGAAAGGCGTTTTTTAAAAAGGAAAAAAATTCTCCCCTCCTTCTAGCGCCAATTGTTGAACCAAGGATTCACACAATGAATTTATTAAGGAAAGGAGAATAAATTCACTTTGAACAATCTCTCGGGAACTCGATTAAAGAAGATATTAGAAGAATTACTTTGACCTAGAAATAAACGATTTAGGGTTTGCTCAAGAACAAATGAAGAACTAGGGTTTTTGGTATTCAATGATCGATGCCCTAGAAATGCAGGCATCTTGTTTATTTATACAAAGGATCTAGGGCTCAATAAATGCTCTCATTCCTTAGATTTACAAAGAATATTGTCATAGATATTTAATTAGGGTTCTCGAAACCCTAATTGTATGAAGTCGTTCATCCCATTTTAGGAATGCACATAAATCCGCTTTAAATACGAAACAGAGATTCCCCGATTTACTGGTCTAATTCGATTTCGTCTTGGTTTAGGCCGGTATGTCGTTGGTGCTAATTCCTACACCATCAAATGGCATACAATTGAAAAAGAAGATTAAGAACTAACCAGTAAGGTAATCCCAAACAAGATGCGATGGGAAGAGTTACTTGACTTGCCAAATCCATCCCATTAGATAAAAACCTGCAAATAAACAGAATACTAGGAGGATCAACTAATGTTTCAAAGTTGGAATCCGCAATTCATAAATAGAAACAGGTTTGCGAGTGCCAAATAACAGGACTGGAACATCTTTCTTAGTCCGTCGTGAATTGAAACCATAGAAAGAAGAAATAAAAAGAGGAACCAGAGATAGTCAAACTAGGAAGGAAAGGAGGGACAATGCATTGTATGTCATGTGGTGACGCTGGACACAAGGCAGCTAGATGTCTGAAATTTTCTGAGGAGAAGAAGAGTAAGAAGCAGGACACAATGCAACCAGCGGAGGCATGTTTTGAATATTTTTATCTTTTAATTTGTTTAGCTTGCTCTGTTTCTTTTTTTTCTCCTTTTGTGTCTGTTTTTTCTTTGCAATGTTTGTGTTTGGAGTGTTGTTGTATCTGTTTTCTTGGCAGGTTTGAAGTGTTTGCAAGTTGTTTGTGTTTGTGACTGTTTTTATTGTCTGCATGTTTTGTACTGTGCCTGATTTTTGTTCTACGGGTTTTTGTTTATTTTTTTAGTGTCTCCAAATTTTGTTGCGTCTTTTTTTTTTGTGATTGCAGGTTTTTGTGTTGGCATTACGAAAATACATAGAATGAGTCACAATTACATAGACGTGTAGAAAGTCAGTCAAAATACTTACTAAATCATGAACAAAGCAAGACTCTATAGTCTCTATATCTTTCCCCATAGCCAAACAAGTGCAATTGCCAATACAACCGTAAAACATATGGTCTTCAAAGATGACTTATCAATCTTCTCATTCATCTCCTAAGTCTTGGGTGTAAATATGTAAACAT